GTAGCCTATAAACTGGCTCAGGTGCTCTGCTCTAATCCCCACTCCTCCCCAGCCAGTGTGGTGGATGTCCTCTCTGCCTCAGCCAGGCAGAACTCAGGGCTTCAAGTGCCCCTCCAGCCACATCTGCTGGTCCAGGCACCCCATGAGAACAGGGTGTGTCCTGTACCCCAGAGCCTGGTGTGAGTGGGATCCCAAACCTTTGGCACTGGCAAGAGGGGATGGGCAGAAACATCAAGGGTGTCCCAGCTCCTGCCCCCTCGCAGCTCTCACCCCTCTCTGCTCTCCAGAATCCCCAGCCCAGCCTCACCCCCAAAGTAGGAGCCATCAGACAGCTTTGTCTCCTTGTTGCCCTTGGTGAGGATGCTGACGACCCCGTGCTGGATGAAGTACATCTTTTTGCCCACGGTGCCCTCGCGGATGATGAAGTCCCCAGGCTGGAAGACCTCAAAGCGTAGCTTGGTCAGCATGGCAGTCACAAAGTTGGGGTCAGCATTGGCAAACAGGGGCATGTTGGCCACCAGGCTGCGGCAGTTGAAGTTGATGATCTCCTGTGGGGTGAAGTGCAGGTCAGCAGGGACATCAGCAAGCTTGGCCCCAGCAAGTGCCAATCCCTCTCCCCCAGGTCACTTGGGGTGCCTTTCCTCACCTCTTTGAGAGGCTCACTGAGCTCCCCCAGGATGTTCTCCTCATCAAACATCTTGCCCTGGTAGCGGTGCTCGTAGTACTCATGGATCCTCTGGCGTGTGTCCCCAGGCAGCTTGTGGAATGACATGTACTGCTCCACCTGCTTGTACTGTGGGGACGAGGGGAGAGGCACAGGGCTGAGCTGGGACCAGCTGCACTATAGTTTATCCAGACAACACGTCCCCTCTCCTTGGTGGTAAGAAGCAGCTGCCACCAGAGCAGGGATCCACCCCTGCTCCAGGGCCCTGTCCCAGAATCACCTCCAGGGTAGAGAACAGGACCCCGAGCACCCAGGATGCAGGAGGTCCCAGGGCAGAGGCCAGGATGGGACACACTGTGCTGAGATGAACCTCAACATGATGAACAAACATCTCTCTATCCCAATGAGCAGCCTGAGCCCCCCCCCCACCCCCAGGGTGAGTGGCAAGGGCAGAGATCCCAATCTCTGGAACCAGCACAGCAGGACAGCTGCTCTGAGCTAGCCCTGGGAGCTGTGGTCCCCGTCCAGCCCAGTCCTACCTTCTCCTGGTACTGGCGCCGGGAGGAGTCCAGGGACTGGATGAGGGCAGTGGCGTGGCCGATGAACATGGCATAGCAGGTGGCTCCCACGATCATGCTGAGCATCGTGAGCCACACGTCAGTCATGCCCTGGGGCGTCTGCTGCCCGTAGCCAATGCACAGCATGTGGCTCATGGCCTTGAACAGGGCGTGTGAGTATTGCTTCCCCCACGAGTCGTTCTGCAGACAAGGGACAGAGGTGCTGGGGAAGCTTCTGGAACACCTCCCCCCCCCCAGTTGCCTCTTCCCTAAGCCAGGGAAGTCCAGAGCCCCAGGGAGAAAAAGGTTCTTGATGTGTCCAGGCTCAAGGGGCTGAGCTCTGCTCCAGGAGGAGGCACTGGGATTGTGTGAAGCCTGAGCTGGCACTAGCTCCTGCCCTGGGGAGGAGGCAGGAGCCACACGGCCCTGTCCCCTCCCTGAGGGATTCCCTGACCCCAGCAAAGCAGGTTGAGCTGGGAAGGTGATGCAGACATTCCCTCTTCCCCATCTCACTGCTACGTCCAGAGATGCTGCTCAGCAGCTCCAGCCTGGGTGGAGGAGATGTGAAACCAAATCCTCTCCCTGCTGGGCAGATCCCAACCGGAACCACTCCTGCCTGGGCACTCACCACCATGTGGCTCCTGGAGACCCAGCTGTCCCTGGGGAAGTCCTGCAGCATGGGCACCAGGAACTGGAGGCAGCCATCCCAGTGACACAGCAGCAGCATCATGCCAATGAGGTTGAAGATCCTCACCACGGCACTGGCCAGGTCGTACGTCATGTGGAAGATCTGGGGAAGAGGCAAGAGTGGAGCTACAGAGAAACCAGAAACCTCCAGCCAGCTGCACCCTGCAGCCAGGGCCCCCCAACCTGGCCTGGGACCCTGACCAGGGCACCCCCAGGGGGTTCTGACCTCCTCCCACTGGTGGATGTAGCGGATGAGGCGCGAGAGGCGCAGCAGGCGCAGCAGGCTGAGGATCTTGGTGAAGCGCACGATGCGCAGGGCCCGAGCTGTCTTGTAGACATCGGAGTCCACCTGCGTCTCCAGGTCAACGATGAGGAAGATGTAGTCAACTGGGATAGAGGAAATGAAGTCAACCAGGAACCAGGTCTTCAAGTACTTCATTTTGATGGTGTGAGGGTCAAGGATGATCTCCGTGTTGTCCTCCACCACGATGCCTGTCCGGAAGTTCAGCACCAGGTCAGCCAAGAAGAAAGTGTCCGAGAGCACGTTGAAAACAATCCAGGGAGGGGTGTTCTCATCCTTGAAGAAGGTGATGCCCACAGGCAGGATGATCAAATTCCCCACCATCAGGAGCAGCATGATGAGGTCCCAGTAAAACCTGCAGGGTGGGAACGTGGGGGATTGAGCAGGGCAGGGGGAAGTGGGGAGAGGCAGGACACAGCCAGTTAGACAGCAATCCCAGGTTCAAAGTGAGAGCCCACAGACCACAGAGGCAGGTGCTGAGGGCACACACACACACACATGTGCCTGCCCACACACATGGCTAAGAACCTTCTGCTTGGCTGGGACAGATGTGAGCAGATGTGTGTAGAGAGGAACAACTCAGCTCTGGGCTAAGGGTCTGGAGGCACAAACATCACCCTGTGTGTGTGGGAATGGGAGGCTGTAGCTTCAGGGAGCTTGGCTGTCACTCCTCCCTCTCCTTGTGGCATGACAGCCCCTGCCTCAAACTTGGCATGTGGCCCGTGGAGAACTCAGGGAGAAGGTGTGCTCTGCTCCCTGGAGCTCCCTGCCACCACCCGGGCTGGCTTAGCAGGAATTGGGATAAGCTCTGCTGGTTATGCAAACCAAGTGCTGAGCTCCTGGGGTGGCTGAGGGACCCGGGGGTTGGGGAGGCTGTCAGGGTGAGCCACGCAGCAGCCGAGCTAGGATAGACAATGCCAATCCCAGGGGAAGGTGGGAGGGACAGGTCTAACCCCAAGGGAGCTGCTAGCACAGCCCTGGGCCTGCAGCACACCTCATCCACCTCCTTTTGCTGCAGGTGGACAAGCTCAGAGGCTTTGGAGGAAAAGTAAAGAGACACCAGGAGCAGCTGGTTAGTGTTTGGTTATACCAGGACAGCCAGCAACTCTGTTCACATGCAAATGCCCCTGGGATGTCTTCATTCTTCACACAGAAACATAAGCCTTCCTCCACCAGGCTCGTGACTCCCAGGATCCCTGCTCAGAGCCTTCACAGGCCCCTGGGAAAAAAAGTCCAGCTCCCACTTTTGAATGCCTCTATTAGCCCTCGTTGTGGGTAATAGACCTGAATTTCCAAAGGTGACCTCAGGGCAACTTTTAGTGCTGGTGGATTCAAAACAGCCTTTCAGGTGATGGAAGCCTGTGGGTGTTTCCCAGGCTCTCTGCAGGGGAGGGAAGGGAAAGGAGGGGAATTTGCGGTGGCACGGGAGGCTCCTTCGGAGAGAGAGCAGCAGAGCCTGGCAAGGAGGGGGCAACCCCTCCCCAGGGAGCCACCCCAGGGCTAGGAGCCACCCTAGGATCAGGAACCTCTCACAAACATCTTCTTGATGGTGGCCAAGGTTTGCTGGGGCAGGCAAGGAGACACTAGCCAAGGCAGAAGGGGCCTGACCTGGCTGAGCAACGCCCTCCTCACCTCTCCATGCTGTCTGTGCCCAGGGAAACTGCCTGTCCCCACAGCTGCCCGAGCCTGTCTGGAGCTCTCAATTGAGATTTAGGTTTAAGCTCTTTAGGACAGGCCATGTCCTTCACTCCATGTCAGGCTGAATGTGCAGGGCCCTGATCTCCACGGCCTTTATGTCTCCCCACAATGACAAACACCGGTGTAATCCCCCTGGCTGTCTACCTGCCAGCTCCCTTCATGGCACTGCTTGCACAAGCTGCTCCTGCCGAGCTCAGCCTCATAAACTTTGGGATGGCTTCCCTGGCACAAGGGCTCTCCGGGCTGGCAGGGTTGTGCGAGGGTGGTGCAGGGGAGTGGGAGCGTGGTGAGGGAACACGGCTACAGACGCCAGGGGGCTGTGGTGGGTGCTGGCCCCGCTCTGAGTGCATCCCAGGCTAAGGACATCAGCCGTGTCACAGCTCGCTGCGGGAGATGACTGCCTGGCAGCCTCATCCCCCGTGGAGAAAGCCCACCCTGTATGACTCAACATCCCC